TATATATATATATATATATATATATATATATTATATTATTGTGTACAAATTATGAATAATTTATTATTATTATTATTATTATTTAATATTATAATATATAAATGTGCATAATAATTTAAAATGTTTAATGAATCATTTGTTATTTTATAGTTTTATTACGGATAAATAAATAAAAAAATATTTTTTTTAGAAATTTTAACTAAAACATTAAAATTTCAGATTAAAACTACTACTACACCGTTTCCAAAAGAACATCGAAGTACGTTATTGGGCAAACAAGGACGTAATCTTAAGAATATTGAAAAACGTACAGGAGCACGTCTTCAAATACCGTGTATGAAAAATTTGGCTGACATAATTTATATAACTGGAACAAAGGATTCCACGAAAAAAGTAGTTCAAGTATGTATCAAAAATATGTTTTAATGAATCGGAATTTAAGTTTAATACATTAAAGTAAATTAATTTTCGAAAAGAATGGCTAGAATGAATAGGTTGGAGAAAAATTGACAAAATAGATAATGCCTATTTTTAAAGTGGTTATTTGTGACCGTAGTAGTTTATTTATTTTATTAATTAAATTAAAATTAAATCTTTTAATAAATATTTGAAAATTTTACGATTTCTAAATTAAAATTCCAATAATTTTTATTATACTTTTATAGTAAAAATAAATTAATGAGGATTTTAATATTGAATTTTGATATAACAATATACGAATTCAATGAACTTTTAATTTTAATATTACTTATAGGTTTAAAAGTTTTTAAAAGATTTCTGATATGTTTTATTTTAGAAAAAAATTTACAAGTATTATGTATTAACGAAATCGGGTATTTTAATAAATTTCCATCAAATAGTTTCTTTCGTAATTTTTTAATAATTAAAATTTTTGTTAGGAATTGGAGGAAATTATAATTAAGTTGAAAAGTAAAATTGAAAAAGAAATAAAAATTGATCAACGTCACCACGGAGCGATAATTGGATTCAATGGTGAAAAAGTTCGAGAACTTCAAAAAATATTTAATGTTAAAATTATATTCCCCAGTCCAGGTAATTAATAGTATTAATAGTATTAATATGTTTGTATTTTTTGTATTTTGAGAGTTTATAAATAATATTTGGTTCGATATTTTAGTTGAGGCTAGAAATAATTTAGTTAAAATACAAGGTTTGAACGATGATGTAAATAAAGCATTTAAATCATTAGCTGAATTGGCCGAAGTATTGGATGAAATCAACTATGTGTTGGAAATTCCTATTTTTAAACAATTTCACAAACTTAATGCTGGAAAGAGAGCAATATTTATTAAAAAGGTAATTATTATTTATTAACTTTTGTGATTCGACCTTTAGAAATATTGTTATTTATATAATTTAATATTCTAGATTAGAGAAGAGACTGATACGAGAATTTTTTTACCACGTGAAGGAGGCAATAAGGATGTTATTAAAGTCATGGGAAATAAAAAAAAAGTTTTAATCGCTTATGATATGATTAAAGAAATACAAAATGAAATTGTTGGTCTTTTATAAATATTATTTATTTTTCAAGTTTATTTTTAATTTATCAATCATGTAATTTTAGGGAGACATAATAACAAAGGAAATGGTGTTGGGAAATGTTAAAGTTAGAAATGCCATTGTAAATCTAGGGAATAAATTCATTCAATCTATGAAAGAAGATTGTGGGGATAATGTGACATTGAATTTACCAACTGTTAAAGGAGATAATGTAAGAATATACTTATTTATTAAACTTATAAATTAAAATGACAATTTAACCAAACTGGTTAAACAAACAATTTAACTGGCTTCTGGCAGTTTCTCTCTTTGAGTAAGAAACGATTGTCTCAAGAGATGAAACTGCTTCTCCTCCCCTAATACAATAAGTAAATTTTCAAGAAAATTTCCCAAATGCTAAAATCTATTAAAAAAATAGTAAACCGTTATTTTAAAGCTAAACTTTTATTCATAGACTATAGTTATCAAAGGACCTGAAGATGATGTTAAAAATGTTAATACACAAATTCAGACAATGGTTAATGAAGTTCATAAATATGTATTTGATTTGAAAGTAAATCCGAAGTTTCACAAATATTTAATTGGAACAAATGGAGCCAATGTTAAAAAGGTATGTTGTTAAAATAATTTAATATAAGGGTACAATGTGTTCATTTATGGTTTAATACTTGGATTCTAGATCAGACATTTAACGAATACAAGAATAATTTTCCCGCCTGAAACTGATTCCACTAATGAAAATATAACTATTGTTGGTAAAAAAGAGAATGTTAATAAAGCAAAAGCAAAATTTGAAGTTATGATAACCGATATTGGTAAAGTCATCGAAGAACATGTAGAAATCAATGAAAAATATCATGGCACTTTAGTGGTCAATCAAAAAGAATGTATACACAAATTGAAAAAAGAATGTGGCAATGTTAAAATTGAATTTCCTAATCTTAGTGCTGGAGATAGAGTTGTGATCAGTGATAGTAAAGCAGATGTTGCTCTTTCTAAACAAAGACTTTCAGACCATGCTAAAGTTTTGGTATGTATAATTCAATACAAATGCACGTGTATTAAACTAACCTGTCTATTTTTT